TATGTGTGTGTGTGTGAGAGAGAGAGAGAAAGAAGAGAAAGACAAAGGTGGGTGTGGTGATCAAGGAGCTGTTTGGCCTACAAAGCAAAATGGCTGACAACAGAGAACGACCAAAATGGCCGAATCAAGGCTGCTTCAGTTTCGGGGGAGGTGTTTGTCTGACCGTGTGGTCAGGACAAAGACAAAGGAAAAGAAGCGGGAACTTTGAAATGCCTGTTTGGGTGTAGCTCTGTTGAAAGCCTGTTTGTTAATGAGTCTATGTCAATGTGATGTGTGTTGCAAACGGTCTGGATTAGTGCAGAGATTTAGTTGTGTGCAAGAATCTGTTTGTGAACAGTATTAGCAAACTAAACACTTAGCTTTGGCGAAGCCAACTAATCAATGACCTAACTGCAATATATCACAACAATAACTCAGTAAACAACATCAAATCACATACAACAAGTTAAACAGTCTTGCTTAGCCTGTAAAGCTGTGATAAGCTATGCCCAGTTGTTACATTACCGATCCTTGAATGGATGGGAGAAAGAGTCACTTGGTGGTGTGCTGCTGAGGTGTGAGGTGAGACTTCCTGTGGAGATGGGTGTCTCCTAGCTGTCTTTGTTTGGACAACAAAGAGCATGCAGAGGAAAAAGCTTTTAAATCTCCAGTTATGATTTTACCAAATGAAAAATCATCTGTGGTCCTGTGAATCCCAACAACGTGGTTCCCGTCGATCACAATGTAGTAAGTGTTGATGGACTGCTTGCTGGTTCCAGCAACAAGAGGGTATGGCTGGCAAGTTGCCTCCTGGCTCTCCAAGTGTTGTTCAAGGCTCCGGCATGACTGTGGAGAAACCACATGTCAGGTTGCATTGTAGTATTGTCTTATTCTGTGCCATGTTTCCACGCTTCTAATCACAATCAGATCTGCACTAACCACGGTTTCCACACATTTTCACAGACAAAATTTCAAAACTTTTCAAGCTTTTCACCCATAATACAATATCCAATTGTAGAAAGTTGTTGATGTCCTGAAGAAGATTTAGATGTCCTGGAGAAGATTTTGGGAGAAACAGAGCTCTTGTGCCCATGATTAATGTAAGATATGCTAATTACATTACAGACAACAAAATTCTATCAATTTTCCAAAACTGTTTGATTTTACTTTACTTCATGACTCTTCCAGGCCTAGTAAATGACTTAAAAAATTCCACAGTTTTTCTAGGGTTTTCATGACAATGGGAAGCATGACTTACCTTGTGAAACACAACTAGATGGTCCATGGCCTGAGCTGCACTGATCTTTTGTCTTCTCTTTTTAAAGGGCTGAGGTGGCAGGATATGACGGAGTAACAAGAGAGATGCCATGTCACTGTCCCAATCTGTAGAAAGAGAAAAAAAACTTGTGTATAGTATAATTTGAATATCATGTTCCTTTAATTTCAAAACTATGGAGAATTACATCATACAATTCCACTTTAGATAACAAAAACTCCTCATTAAGCACATGTATATAGGTTTGTGAATGACAATGCATTCAAATTCCATGTGTTACCTGGGCAGTCAGAGGCTTCATCTTTGTTCTGATTCCTGGCATGACCTCAGCAAACTCTGGATGACTGGGGTGGTTGTAAGGCTCTCAGCTTCTTTGATCACCTTCCTTTTAAAGGATGGATGCCACTTTTCAAGCAGTTTGTCGGCTGTTTCTGGTCCAAAAATGAGGCAGAAATCTTGATTTATCTGCAGTGGCAGAGAAATGAAAGAACATGTTTTCTCAAATTTACATTTTTCAAATCACATGTTGCGCTTAAATGTCTAACACTTACCAGCAGGGTGTAAAATTAACACCCACCAAGCGCCAATGGTGGGTAAAAAATGAGTTTGGCATGTAAAACAAAAACACACACCCGCCAGTGGCCGATGGAAAATTTTGAATTGCATGTGGGTTTTTTATATCCTTCGACCATTTCTGCCAGCTGTGTCCAGGGACGGTTTTTGCTATGGGCAATGTGGGCGACCACCCAGGGCGCAATCTATGTGAGGGCGCACGAGCGCCCTCGAAAAAAAACAAAACAACAACAACAACAAAAAAACTCGCCAGTTTTCTAGACTACCGCTCATTTCCACGTCAAGTTAGTGGAGTGGGCGCTGGGGCGCCCCTATTATCACGTTTCAACCCGCAGCAGAAAGGAAAGGCGAATCTTGGAGGTTGTGGGTTGAACGGGGGTCACAGACAGGAACACGACGGAGGCTCTGTGGCGCAAGATAACGGCTTACCGGCCGTCTCCAACTAAGTCCAACTCCAGGTCCAGTAATTTCCTCTTTCATTGGTGTCATGACTGCCCAGTAGTACCTGGACAACCGAACCGTGGCGGTATACAGGTATGTGGCGTGTCAGAGGAGAAACGAGCCATTCACATTTCCACAAACCTCACTGCACTTCAGGGACTGTTCTTTACTTATGGAGGGACTGTCAGGGGAGGAGGGTGACTGGTTGACTTTTATTTTATTTTGATCCCCCCTATGTTAATCACTTATTGATGCTGTTTTTGAAGTATGAATAAGTCAGTAAGTAATTTATTCCATTGAAATATCATTGATGTATTATAGAAAAGTGATTTATCTTTTTATAAATGACAAAAGGCACATCTGCCTCATTTTTGCTGTGGTATCGTGATAGGCCTACTACTACTGCAGCCTTTGCCGCAAGCACGCCAAAGAAACACAGAGGACAGGGTTGGATTTTCCTAAAGTTGGATTTTCATACTAAAAACGTAAGGTAATTATTTTTCGTCACATAAGGCACAATTTTTTTATTTGGCTGGTGAAAAATATGTCTGGCCAGTAAATTTTTGGAGGTCACTAGCCAATGGCAGATGAGGTAAAATGTTAATTTTACACCCTGCTTACAAGCCCTTTAGTGTCCAGCAGCCTTGGAAACACAGTATGTTACCCGACTCATCAGGATTGTGGATGAGGTGCTGTCTATACTCAAAGGTTTCCTTCATCTTCTGCAGGATTATTTCTCTGTCAGTGATGTGGCTCATCAAGGATATGATCTCTTTACAATGCTCCTCATCCAACTGACCACCAATCTGAGGCAGCTCCCTCTTTTGTCCTGGACCGCTAACTCCTGCTGTCTGCATTTTTGGTTCCTTGAATGGAAGTTTTGTGTTCCTCTGAACGGTCTTGAGCCGCCATGCCAGAAATCCAGTGCCACTTTGGCTGTCATAGAAATGTTCCTGACCAAAGACAGACAAAAATTAGTGAAAAACAAAAACCATAAATTTGACAGGATTTTACCACCAAGATATGAGAAAAACAAGGGATAAAAAACTCCTAATGCTGTGTATTAAAAAAAAAAAAAAAGTTTTAGAAAAGGAATTTTTTTTTATACATAAGACGGCAGTAGTGCAGAGTTTGATTGCATCTTAAAGTGATAGCTCAACATTTTGGCAAATTCGCCCATTGCAGTACTTTATGTAATTATACAAGTAGGTTCATTACCTTTGATTAGCTTGCCAATACTTACAAAGCAGAGACGGAGTGCTAACTGTAGCACACAGAGTTGAAGCAGACTGTACAGCCCCTCTTTCAATCAAAACAAATCAATAACACACCCCAACAATTCCAAAATACTCTTATGGACACGTCATGGCTTGCATATTCACCACACTATGTAAAAATAACATGACGTTACAAGACAGAAATTTTTGAGGTAAATACTGAGAAGCACTGTATCACTCCGCCCAGTAGTTCACACAGGAAGTAGTTCCAAGTATTTGTTACGTTATGTTTTCATACCGTGGTGAATGACAGTCATAACCTGTCCATATGAGTGTTTGAGTTGTTGGAATGCATTATTTGATTATTTTGAGAAAGGGGGGGCTGTACAATTGTTCCCATTCATTGCTTAACAGGTAGCACATCTTCACCTCTGCCAGCACAGATTCTTAAAGGTAATGTACCTCCCCACTGCAAGTAAGGCAATGAGCAAATTTGCCAAAATGTTGAACTATCCCTTTAAACTATTCAGTGAAATACATTTTGTGATGTGCCTCAGTCACATATGAGGAGAATGTTCATTTTATTTCATAAGGTTAACATGATTATTCTGTACTTTTTTGAAAGTACATGATTATTCTGTACTTTTTTGATTATCTGCAATTGAGATATGCCTGGGTCAGACCAAAATATATCATTTCAAAATGATGAATTTTATACACTTTGCTTTGTCTGTGTCAGATGTAACCAATTATACTTTTTATAATTTCAAAAGTGAAAAAAAATATTTCCACAAAGCCTCAGTTCTGTTCAATTACAGCTCTTTTGTGTTTTTATCCACATTTTGATGTACCTGTGGCATTCAGGATTAAAAGGAGAAACNGGACAACAAAGAGCATGCAGAGGAAAAAGCTTTTAAATCTCCAGTTATGATTTTACCAAATGAAAAATCATCTGTGGTCCTGTGAATCCCAACAACGTGGTTCCCGTCGATCACAATGTAGTAAGTGTTGATGGACTGCTTGCTGGTTCCAGCAACAAGAGGGTATGGCTGGCAAGTTGCCTCCTGGCTCTCCAAGTGTTGTTCAAGGCTCCGGCATGACTGTGGAGAAACCACATGTCAGGTTGCATTGTAGTATTGTCTTATTCTGTGCCATGTTTCCACGCTTCTAATCACAATCAGATCTGCACTAACCACGGTTTCCACACATTTTCACAGACAAAATTTCAAAACTTTTCAAGCTTTTCACCCATAATACAATATCCAATTGTAGAAAGTTGTTGATGTCCTGAAGAAGATTTAGATGTCCTGGAGAAGATTTTGGGAGAAACAGAGCTCTTGTGCCCATGATTAATGTAAGATATGCTAATTACATTACAGACAACAAAATTCTATCAATTTTCCAAAACTGTTTGATTTTACTTTACTTCATGACTCTTCCAGGCCTAGTAAATGACTTAAAAAATTCCACAGTTTTTCTAGGGTTTTCATGACAATGGGAAGCATGACTTACCTTGTGAAACACAACTAGATGGTCCATGGCCTGAGCTGCACTGATCTTTTGTCTTCTCTTTTTAAAGGGCTGAGGTGGCAGGATATGACGGAGTAACAAGAGAGATGCCATGTCACTGTCCCAATCTGTAGAAAGAGAAAAAAAACTTGTGTATAGTATAATTTGAATATCATGTTCCTTTAATTTCAAAACTATGGAGAATTACATCATACAATTCCACTTTAGATAACAAAAACTCCTCATTAAGCACATGTATATAGGTTTGTGAATGACAATGCATTCAAATTCCATGTGTTACCTGGGCAGTCAGAGGCTTCATCTTTGTTCTGATTCCTGGCATGACCTCAGCAAACTCTGGATGACTGGGGTGGTTGTAAGGCTCTCAGCTTCTTTGATCACCTTCCTTTTAAAGGATGGATGCCACTTTTCAAGCAGTTTGTCGGCTGTTTCTGGTCCAAAAATGAGGCAGAAATCTTGATTTATCTGCAGTGGCAGAGAAATGAAAGAACATGTTTTCTCAAATTTACATTTTTCAAATCACATGTTGCGCTTAAATGTCTAACACTTACCAGCAGGGTGTAAAATTAACACCCACCAAGCGCCAATGGTGGGTAAAAAATGAGTTTGGCATGTAAAACAAAAACACACACCCGCCAGTGGCCGATGGAAAATTTTGAATTGCATGTGGGTTTTTTATATCCTTCGACCATTTCTGCCAGCTGTGTCCAGGGACGGTTTTTGCTATGGGCAATGTGGGCGACCACCCAGGGCGCAATCTATGTGAGGGCGCACGAGCGCCCTCGAAAAAAAACAAAACAACAACAACAACAAAAAAACTCGCCAGTTTTCTAGACTACCGCTCATTTCCACGTCAAGTTAGTGGAGTGGGCGCTGGGGCGCCCCTATTATCACGTTTCAACCCGCAGCAGAAAGGAAAGGCGAATCTTGGAGGTTGTGGGTTGAACGGGGGTCACAGACAGGAACACGACGGAGGCTCTGTGGCGCAAGATAACGGCTTACCGGCCGTCTCCAACTAAGTCCAACTCCAGGTCCAGTAATTTCCTCTTTCATTGGTGTCATGACTGCCCAGTAGTACCTGGACAACCGAACCGTGGCGGTATACAGGTATGTGGCGTGTCAGAGGAGAAACGAGCCATTCACATTTCCACAAACCTCACTGCACTTCAGGGACTGTTCTTTACTTATGGAGGGACTGTCAGGGGAGGAGGGTGACTGGTTGACTTTTATTTTATTTTGATCCCCCCTATGTTAATCACTTATTGATGCTGTTTTTGAAGTATGAATAAGTCAGTAAGTAATTTATTCCATTGAAATATCATTGATGTATTATAGAAAAGTGATTTATCTTTTTATAAATGACAAAAGGCACATCTGCCTCATTTTTGCTGTGGTATCGTGATAGGCCTACTACTACTGCAGCCTTTGCCGCAAGCACGCCAAAGAAACACAGAGGACAGGGTTGGATTTTCCTAAAGTTGGATTTTCATACTAAAAACGTAAGGTAATTATTTTTCGTCACATAAGGCACAATTTTTTTATTTGGCTGGTGAAAAATATGTCTGGCCAGTAAATTTTTGGAGGTCACTAGCCAATGGCAGATGAGGTAAAATGTTAATTTTACACCCTGCTTACAAGCCCTTTAGTGTCCAGCAGCCTTGGAAACACAGTATGTTACCCGACTCATCAGGATTGTGGATGAGGTGCTGTCTATACTCAAAGGTTTCCTTCATCTTCTGCAGGATTATTTCTCTGTCAGTGATGTGGCTCATCAAGGATATGATCTCTTTACAATGCTCCTCATCCAACTGACCACCAATCTGAGGCAGCTCCCTCTTTTGTCCTGGACCGCTAACTCCTGCTGTCTGCATTTTTGGTTCCTTGAATGGAAGTTTTGTGTTCCTCTGAACGGTCTTGAGCCGCCATGCCAGAAATCCAGTGCCACTTTGGCTGTCATAGAAATGTTCCTGACCAAAGACAGACAAAAATTAGTGAAAAACAAAAACCATAAATTTGACAGGATTTTACCACCAAGATATGAGAAAAACAAGGGATAAAAAACTCCTAATGCTGTGTATTAAAAAAAAAAAAAAAGTTTTAGAAAAGGAATTTTTTTTTATACATAAGACGGCAGTAGTGCAGAGTTTGATTGCATCTTAAAGTGATAGCTCAACATTTTGGCAAATTCGCCCATTGCAGTACTTTATGTAATTATACAAGTAGGTTCATTACCTTTGATTAGCTTGCCAATACTTACAAAGCAGAGACGGAGTGCTAACTGTAGCACACAGAGTTGAAGCAGACTGTACAGCCCCTCTTTCAATCAAAACAAATCAATAACACACCCCAACAATTCCAAAATACTCTTATGGACACGTCATGGCTTGCATATTCACCACACTATGTAAAAATAACATGACGTTACAAGACAGAAATTTTTGAGGTAAATACTGAGAAGCACTGTATCACTCCGCCCAGTAGTTCACACAGGAAGTAGTTCCAAGTATTTGTTACGTTATGTTTTCATACCGTGGTGAATGACAGTCATAACCTGTCCATATGAGTGTTTGAGTTGTTGGAATGCATTATTTGATTATTTTGAGAAAGGGGGGGCTGTACAATTGTTCCCATTCATTGCTTAACAGGTAGCACATCTTCACCTCTGCCAGCACAGATTCTTAAAGGTAATGTACCTCCCCACTGCAAGTAAGGCAATGAGCAAATTTGCCAAAATGTTGAACTATCCCTTTAAACTATTCAGTGAAATACATTTTGTGATGTGCCTCAGTCACATATGAGGAGAATGTTCATTTTATTTCATAAGGTTAACATGATTATTCTGTACTTTTTTGAAAGTACATGATTATTCTGTACTTTTTTGATTATCTGCAATTGAGATATGCCTGGGTCAGACCAAAATATATCATTTCAAAATGATGAATTTTATACACTTTGCTTTGTCTGTGTCAGATGTAACCAATTATACTTTTTATAATTTCAAAAGTGAAAAAAAATATTTCCACAAAGCCTCAGTTCTGTTCAATTACAGCTCTTTTGTGTTTTTATCCACATTTTGATGTACCTGTGGCATTCAGGATTAAAAGGAGAAACAATTAATAGACACTACATGTCTCATTCATTAGGCTGAAATAATTCACATTGGTTTGAAATTTGTCATTACAATGTTTGGCCAAGCTTAAGGTCATGCTTTTGAAATCTGGCACAACTGAATTTTTAAATTGAATAGCCCTGGTGTACACAGTATATTAAAGACTAAAAAGAAATTCATGACTAATGCATCAACATAGCCAATGTTGGGACCTCAGCCACATGTTTTAAACAATAGAGAGGCCTTGACAAAACCAGCCAGTCTAAGAACAAAGGAAACGCGCCAAGCTTCCATTGGTCCGGTAGCTATAAAAGTGTAAATCACTTTTGAAATTCAAACTCTTGCTCCCCATTGGGCGACAGCAGCCAGGTTCAGGTGGAGTCAGAAGGAACCCCCTATGACGTCACTGAGACTTTAATTGCCGCTGCGCGCTGACGCCCCTCGCGATCCCTGAGTGACGAGCTGCTGGAAGGAAGCCAAAGCTTTCTGTGCGCAAGTTACTGCTAGGGAGCACCTCAAAAGTTTGAATTTAACCGACCTAGGCCGCCCTTTTGTTTCTTGACTCGCTGGACGAGGAAAGACGCTTTTTCTTTTGTTTTTAACACTCCACGGAGCACCAGAGGAACGCCGCGCAACCCCGCCGTTCCTCAGCATCTGCAGATTTTGGAGAACCCCCTTTTTCTCCCGAGGAAGACGGAGTCACTGAGGCCCCGTTTCTTCAACTGAGTCGACTCAGCTGATCCCTCTTCTGCCACACTGAGGACAGCATCTTTCATTCCTACAGCGGCCCGCGCACTCATCCCACAGCAACAGACGGGACACATGTTGTCGTGCTGGCGACTCAAGTAAGAGAGCTTCAGTCTGGGCAGAGACTTTATATATAGCGTGACTTAAGAGTAACTGTAACTGTGATTTTGTGAACTTTGAGGACCGCCATGTCCCTTTCTTTGATAAATCTAATCATTGATTGCTGCTTGTTGTTGCGCTCGCCAGAGCAAATTGATTGCGCCGTTAGTGTGCCGGCCGCGCGCTCACAATACGCCGCATTCCTATCTGTAACAAGGACCAGTGGACGGTAGGCTGACCCAGTTAGTCTACCGGCCTCTGAGGGATAGGAAAGTGACCATTGTGTTCCTCCACGGCCGCTTTTACCTCGCTGATTACGAGCGCCCGCTTGCCTTTCTTCTCTCTCTCTCTCCCCCTCTTTTAACTAACCTACTCGCATGCACACACACACACACACATACACACATTATACCTGTGGTAAAATCACACATTGTCTTGTGAGCAACTCCTTAAGGGCAGTTCGCCATTACCACACTCTACACACCTACACGTGTTGGCACAGCTATTCTGTTAGAGCATACAGTGTGTTTGATCCCGCCGGACGCCATCTTGTGCGTACTTTAAAGGTGCACATGTAGCCAGCTGTTTTATGACCCATTGTCTTGCTCTAGTATCCCGCCTCAGTACTTCTTCCCTCAAATTTCC